GTATCGACCGAACCGCCCGATTACAAACCACATGACACAACCCTTAAGTCAAGGGCTTTGGTGACTTTTACCCGAAAAACCCCTGCAACCCTAAACCCTCAACAGCCAACCCGGAGCATAGAAATCTCGCTCTTCCTTCTAAGGCAAAGTTCACACACGGGCCTGCCTCAAGGATGAGGGGACTTAGCGCGTGTTACTATGAGAGTTAGCAAAGGGTTACCATAAGGGCTATTATGATTATTATGATGATGATTATTATTACTGCGGTTTCCGTACTTCAAGGACAGGTACTGTATAGTAAGCAGGTTTATCGCAAACCCCATCGCTCAAGTTACTTCCACCCCGAAAACCCTACACTCCAAAACACCTAGACCTAAACGCCGAAACCACGAAACCAGAGAACCCACCCTTAAACCTGGCTCCCTGTTGGGGCTATATTAAAAAGGATCATTTTCGATCCGTATTGGGTTTTGTTATAACAAACATATAAAACTTTCTCCAACAAGGACCCTTAAACCCTTTGCTTAAAGAGAAACATCTTAGGCGTCAATGCACTGCGTGCCTCCGGCCCCCTCGTCGTGACAGGCTTGGATCATTGCGAAAACCGTGTGCCGGTAGTGTGAGTACCAGGCCATCTGGCGAACATCCAAGTCCCAGGCCTTGTCCGCACGAGGATAGCATTAGAGCTTCGAGGATCTTGAAGCTTTCAGGGTTTTGGGTGATTTCTGATTTAGACTTCGGGACCAGGATTCAAGTCAATTTAGGAAAGGCGCGGGTGTGGGTGCCGGGGGTAGGATGTGGGTATGTGGCATGGCACAAGCCCAGAACCCACTCCAATGGCACGGAACTTTCCTAAACACCTGCGCAATAGCGACACATACTATTCGCAATGATCAAAGCAGCAAGCAAGACCAGCTTGTGTACTAGTGTCAACCATCATACTTGCTGTCATGGAACCTGTTTTATGCAGACGACAACAGCAGTAGCAGTACTCGTAGCAGAAGGAAAAGCAGGAGTAGAAGCAGTAGCAGTAGCATTAGTAGCAGTAGTAGCAGCAGCAGTAGTAGTAGCAGTAGTAGTCGTCGTCGTGGTGGTAGTAGTAGTAGTAGTAGTAGTAGTAGTAGTGGCAGTACCAGCAGCAGACAACAAGTGGTAGTAGTAGTAGTAGTAGTAGTAGTAGTAGTAGCAGTAGTAGTAGTAGCAGTAGTAGCAGTAGTAGCAGTAGCAGTAGTGGTAGTAATAGAAGCAGTAGTGGTAGCCAGGACAGCATTCGCACTAGTAACAGGTACCATAATGATCAGAATGATGCTCCTGATAATCACAACGGCAACGCTAATGAAAAAAGCAGCAAAGTTAGTACCTGACTGGTCATACTGGCACGAATATAGCAATGATCCTAGACCAGAAGTCGTCCACTCTACTGCCAAGTCGCATTGCCTTGCATACTCTGTACAGGGTCCACTGCGGTCACCTGGTGTACTTGGAGGATCATGGGACTTAGTAACTAGGGTGATATTAATAAATCAACCCCAACTAGGGTACTTATAACCTTACTCCCTAAACCCTAAACCTAAACCCTTACTTACTACAGTATGTCCCATGATCCTCCAAGTAGGGGGTTTCACAGTTTGTGGCTTCGGGCCGCAGGTGCAGGGTGCATTGGTCCACCACTCGGGGTCGGCATGTTGGAATGCTCTTGCAGGTGGTTAAGACGTACCGAAGGGTCTAGGGTTTAGGGTTTAGGGCAAGTATCACACGAACTCCCAATGCCCAACAGAAACAAAGCTACTTCCAAGAGAGCTAACCCCGAACTGCCCTAAACCCGACAACCTAAACCCTGAAAACCGCACGCTAGATCCGAACTCCTCAGAACTTCAAAACCTATAAGGCGTTTCAACAAACCCTTCTGTAAAGATTCCCCTAAGCCATGTTTGAAAACGTCCTAAACCCTAAACCCTAAACCCTAAACCCTAAACCCCTAAACCCTAAACTTCTTGAAGGCTAGGGTTTAGGGAAGCCCAACACAAGCCCTTCAAAACCCCTGCAAGACAAAACAAGCCAAGAAACAACTCCCAAAAAGCCCTTGAACCCCCCTCACCCCCCCAAACCCTAAACCCTNNCCCTAAACCCCCCCCCCCAAAAAAAAAAAAGTACCCTCCTCAAAGCTCTCAAAAGAAGAAAACCCTAAACCCTCAACCCTACACCGGAAATAATACGCAAGGGAGCCCCCTGAAGCCTGGAGGGTGTGGACGTCCAAGGACACGGAGTTGAAGACCTTGGAAGCCTCCTCGAGCTCCTTCGAAAAAAGGGGGCGGGGCTCGTTCTTTCCTGTAAGGTTGGTCGTTGGTTTAGGGTTTAGGGTTTAGGGTTTAGGGTTTAGGGTTTAGGGTTTACGGTTTAGGGTTTAGGGTTTAGGTTTTTCTGAGGGTGTGGAGTTTAGGGTTTTGGGGTTTTGGGTTGAGGGTTCAGGGGTTCTATGAGATAACCGGGCGGTTCTTGACCGCGTTCCATACACTTGCCGCGTGGAATGCCCGGTTGTTTTCAGGGTGTCTGGTATTTGCATGTGGGTGGTTGTCAAAATTATGGTCCCTTTTTGCGTCCTTATTATAATACGGCACCTATTATTTAGGGTACCCCAAAAGGGACCATAATTTTGACAACCACCCATGTATTTGCATGTAGTCTTGAGCCTAAGAAGCTTCGGATGTGGTGTCGAAATGGTCGTTGCTGGTAAAGTTCCGGAGTTGAAAAGGCCTTCAAAACTTGTCTGACTTCTGAACCCCTCCTAAAAGTTAAACTTTTAGCCTACTTATTATAGTTCATATAGAAACCCAAAAAGTTAAAGTCTAAAGAGCCAACCAGAAGAACGCCAAGAAAAAGGGTCGATACCGAAACCCTCTGCCCCAGCGCCAAGCCTTCCCTACACCTCCAGACCATCAAGCAACATACCCTTAAACGCCCTCCCACCTCAAAGCAATAAACTTCACACCCGCAAAACCAAAGCCACGAACGAACCCTCAAACCTAAGCCCCAACCAAATAACAAACCCCGAAAAAGCTCAAAAAATAGTACTTCGGTACGAACCAATCCTTACAACACCCTGCAAGATCCTCGTAAACTCTCCTGTCATACTCACAATGCAAAAAGACATACTGCAGGGGCCTTAAGTAGGGTTTTAGGGTACATTATACTATCGTTAGAATAAGGAACCACCAACAAACTATAGGTAATTACCCGAAACCCTAAACCCTAAACCCCTAAACCCCTACACCCCTACACCCCGAAACCCAACACCCTAACGCCCCTATGTGACCCAATGCCCCGTAAATAAGGAATATACCTTAAAATATAGGAGCCTTAATATTATGATACCATAATGCAAAACAGACACCCTAAACCCCTAATTAAACCCCTA